GATTTAGCTCAGCGGCAAAAGCGCCTGCCTGGCAAGCGCAAGGTCCTGAGTTCGGTTCCCGGTACCGGAGAAAAACCAAAAAAAAAAAAAAAAAAAAAAAGAATACAAAACACATGCTGGGCATGGTGGTGCATGCCTGTGATCCCAGCACTTAGCAGACTGAGGCAGGAGGGTAGGGGAAGGGAGGGAATAGAGCTAAGCAGCACAAGTGCCTGACAGGCGAGCATAAGATCCTGAGTTCGATTCCCGGTACCAAAAGAAAAGATGGTTAACTTGATGTGTCCCCATTTGTTTATTTTTGCTATTAGGTCCTATGGTCCTGGAGTCCTGTTCAGGAAATCTTCGTATCTGTGGCTTCCAGTGTTTCCTTTCTACTTTCTTGTAGCATTTTCAAAGTTTCAGGTCTTATACCTGTGGTCTGTGATCCATTTGGGATTGATTTTTACAGAGGGTGAGAGGGATCCAGTTTCAGTCTTCTACCAGTGGATCATATGGCTATCACGGTTTCCCAGTATCATTTGTTAAAGAGGCTTTCTTTTTTCCCAGCTTATGTTTTCGGTCCCTTTGCAAGAATTAGATAGCTGTAAGTGTGTAGATGTGTTTCTGTGTCCTCTATTCCACTGGTCTACATGTCTGTTTTTGTGCCAATACTGTGTTCCTATGGCTTTTTTTTTTTTTGAGACAGGGTCTTGCTATGCAGTTCAGGGTGGTGTTGAGCTCACTTTGTAGCCTAGGCTGGCCTTGAACTCGCGATGATCCTCCTGCCTCAGCCTCCCGAGTGCTGGGATTACGGGTGTGCACCACCCTGCTTTAGCTATTCTGAGTCTTCTGATTCCATATGAATTTTCAGATTGCTTTTTCTAGTTGTGTGAAGAATGTTGTTGGTATTTTAACAGAGATTGCATTAAATCTACAGATCACGTTTGGTAACATGGCCGTTTAAGCAATATTAGTTCTGCCAATCCATGAACATGAGCTGTCTTTCCCTCTCGTGGCTCCAGTTCTCTCTTCATTGTCCTGAGAATTTCATTAAGGGCTCTTTCATTCCTTGCAAGTCTAAGCTGCTCTAAAGTTGTTCTACAAAGCTCAAAGAAAAAGACCCAAGTGGGTAAAGATCAAAAGCAATAGGAAAAAAAAAAAAAAGCAACGGGAATGGCTTCATAATTCTCACAGATTGCAAAAGAATGAACATAGTTACACAAGAAACTGGTGCTCTTGGTTTTATGCCAACAATGGCTTTTTTTTTTTTTTTTCCGGTACCAGGAATCAAACACACGACCTTGCACTTGCTGGGCAGGCACTGTGCTGCTGAGCTAAATCCCCAGCCCCCACCAACAATGGCTTTGTTTACGTAGGAAAAAATTGCAAAACTTCTCCCTCCACCTTTTCACCCCTAGTTTATTCATAACAGACACACAACGGTATGTGTATACTACAGTGTACTTGGGCTGTTCCTACTGCAGAGTTAACGAAGATCTTCACATGCTCGGGTGATGCTAATGGGTCCTCCCACACAGGTGGGAGCTGAGTCTCTGTCATGCGTTCTGCAGCACTAACGCAAGTGCTGTGAGGGTGTATTTCAAGACTCCTCAACATCTTTCACTTTCTTTCTGTATCTCTTCCTGTTTATGGCTGTTTCTCTGATCTAGCAGTTAAAGTACAGCTCAGAGCTTCAAGAATGGTCAGTAGGGAAGAAGCAGCAAGTGCTAGCTATTTGCGGACCATCGGTGCTGCTGTTCATTACTAAGCATTCTGTTAGCTTTCAAATGGTCGACCTACTTCGGGTCTGATAAAGAACCCCAGTAAAATAAAAAACTCCAAAAGACCTTTTCTATAGGCAGTGGGTGTAAGAAAGCTATTCTTTACTACAACCTAGCTACTAGATCTATAATTTTCCAGTCAATTCCCCTTGTATTTCATGTTTTTCCCCCCTAAAAGCAATTGCATTTTGGTGGTTCCTCAGAGTCACCTAGAAGGCTTGCTTAGTCACAGAAGGCTGGACCCCACCCCAAGAGGGTCTGAAATCAGAGGTCTGGACCCGGACCGGATCATTTGCTTCCCCCTCCCAACCAGAGCCTCTTGGGAGTTCTCCTCCAGGGAGCTATGCCATCAGCCCCAAAACGTGCATTTCTACCAAGTGTTCAAGCTGTGCTGATGCTGTGGGTTTGAGGACCCCATCCTGAGAATCTGTTGCTCTGTATAAAATTTGAAGAAGATCGGGCATGGTGGCTCATGCCTATAATCCCAGCACTTGAGAGGCTGAGGCCGGAGGATTGCTGTGAGTTCAAGGCCAGCCTGAACTACATAGGGAGACCCTGTCTTTAAATAAATAACTTTTGAGGCAGGTTCTTGCTGAGTTGTCAAGGCTGACCTCACATTTCCACGTAGCTGGTATGACAGGTGTGAACCACTCTATCCGGCTAAATTTCACTTTGAATGATTACTTTTTAAAATATTCTGGCACTAGTAACTATTTTAGATTCTTTCTTGAACTTTTGCTCTTGTTTCTTTCCAGTTCTGTCCACTTTGCCGTTTTCTACCAAATGAGAATCCAGGCACCTTCCAGGGCAGTTTAATAAGACATTTGCAAGTCAACCATACTCTGTTTTACGGTAACTTCATAGTGAGTATACTGTTTGACTTTTACATTGCTGTTATGCTTCTGTGTTAAGCTTACTTGCTTAATCCAGGTGGATAAAACTATGAAGAAAAAATGTGTATATAGCTGGTGTTAAATATCAGCATTACACAGGAAATTGAGAAAATATAGTATCTTTCAAATTTGAGGGGCTGGGCATATAGCTCAATGGGACAAGCACCTGCCTGGCAAGCGCAAGGTTCTGAATTCAGTTCCTGGTACCAAAAAAAAAATTGTTAATACAAATTTGACTACTGATGCTAAAGTAGTTTTCCTCTCTGGATGAAGTTTTTTTTTTTTTCATGATGTAGATAATCAGCTAGTGTATAAACAGCCATACTTAGCCTTTTAATTGTTTAAATTTTTATTTTAGTTCCTCCTTTTTTTTCTTTTTGGTACTGGGAATCGAACTCAGGACCCTGCCCTTGCCAGGCAGGCGCTTGTGCCACTGAGCTATATCCCCACCACACCCAGCTTATTTACAATTGTAATGACATTGTGAACTTGTACGGCAGAGATGAAATCACATCAGTAACTGGCTCAAACTTCTGCATCTGGTTGTTTTTTCTCATGTAGAATCGTAGACAGAATAAAAGAGTGAAACTTGCCAGGCATGGTGGTTCACGCCTGTAATCCCAGCACTTGGGAAGCTGAGGCAGGAGGGTCATTGAGAGTTCGAGGCCAGCCTGGGCTACAAAGTGAGCTCAACGCCAGCCTGAACTGCATAGCGAGACCCTGCCTCAAAACAAAGACAAAAACAAAGTGAATCTTGTTTTTTCAAGATGCGTGAAAAGCTATACCATATGAATACTGTATAACACTTATATTTCTCATTATGAGACATGTTTTTTTGGGGTTTTTTTTTGAGACATGATAGTCGTAAGTAAACAAAAAGGTAACATAGCCTCTGCTCCACATTGGTCCCTATGGCCCCATTTAGGGATATGGCACTGTCCCCTAAATACCTTTCAACAGAGATTATTACCTGTTATGGGGAGAAAATCACTCCTAGCCATGTTCTCAAACATTTCCTCACTGACTTTAACTGTTTTCTTATGCAATTTCAAGATGAAGTTATTGAAGATTACCATTTGAAATTTTTCTTTTCCTTTTTTTTTTTGTTGAGATAGGGTCTCACTATGTAGCTCAGGCTGGCCTTAAATTCTCTGTGTAGCCCAGGCCGGCTTGGAACTTGCAATTCTACTGCCTCAGCTTCCCAAGTGCTGGGACTGCAGGCGTGTGCCACCTTCCCAGATATTCTCCATATTTTTTGTGTTGCTCATTGTGACCATCCAGAATGGACCCAGGAGCTCAGCTTCTGTCCTAGAGCTAAGTAGCAGCTCTGTCACAGCCCTGCAAGTCTGTGGAAGGCATTTAACCACTGAACTTCAGTTTGTTCACCTGTGAAATGGGGAGAGTGAAAACACCTACTCCCAGAAGCTCTCGTGAGGATTAAAGAAGAGAACACATATGAAATGGTTTATTTGCGCCCTCCAGGCGTATGTGATAGGCAAAGTAAATTCTGTGCCTGCTCTAGCCAGTCATACTCAGGCTGTTCTCAGGGCTTCCAAAGTATGATCCAGAGCTGGTCAGGAGGAAGCTACTTTGTTGAGAGCACTTTCTAGCCACTCAAAGCCATATTTTTGAGTATGGAAGTGAGCTTGAAGTAGTGTTCTTTGTTTTGCTTTTTTGATTCCCTAAGCTACCGTGTACCAAGTTAGTACATTTTATTCTGGACAGTAACTTCTGGAGGTGAACACTGTTTTGGCCCTCACTTAACTGTGACATAGCCAAAGCCCAAGTTTACGTGCTTAAGAAGAAGCTGATATGAAGTCCAAACCCCGTGCTTTCACAAGTTTCCGACTTTCCTTTGGGTTTCATTTGTTTCTGTGTTTTAGGATGGATTTCCTGCCTGGATTCCTTCAGGGATTTCACTTCCTGTAGTTTATTGACAGGTGGAAGAGGAGAACAGTTGCAGAGGACAGGGCTCCTCAGAACTGTGCTAATAGAAAGCATTGAGTTCCTCTTTTTTTTCTTTTTTTTTTTTTTTTGTCTTTTTGAGACAGGCTCTCACTACGCAGTTCAGGCTAGTCTTGAGCTCACTTTGTAGCCCAGGCTGGTCTCGAACTCACAATGATCCTCCTGCCTCAGCCTCCCGAGCGCTGGGATTACAGGCCTGTGCCACCATGCCCAGCTTCAGATGGAAACTTTAAAGCAAGACTATTTTATTATGATTGTAACTAGTTCATACCCAGGGTATAAAATGAAATAGAATATGGATTTGCCTCAACTCAAGTCCCAGGTTCTCTGACAGGCATTCTGGAATCTTCAACAAGTCATTTAATGCAGGGCTTTAGTTTCCTGCAAAATGGGGGCATTACATTGACCCCCATCCTCCAATGTCTGAAACACAATTGATTCTGTACATTTCTAATTATTTTTCTTTATTGTAGGACTTTAATATAATTGAGGAAGCTCTTATCCAAAGAGCCTTAGACCAGTCACTTCTTGAGTATGTGAATCACTCGGACACCACATAATTTTATGAACAGGAAGGGGAGCATTCAACTGTACTGTTTCAGACACTGCTTGAACAATTGGAGGGAAATTGTCAGTTTGATGGGGTGAAAAGAACAACCCAGCTGTATGTTATATTATGGTTGTGTTGCATTCAAAAACCTCATTTTGATGGTTTGAATGTTTTATGTATTTTCTTGGAGACTAGGCTCTGTCAGTTATCAATATATGGAAGACACACAGGCTGAGTATTAAGGTGGAGAATCTCTACTGCACATTGGATGACATTAGGTGTAATGCTACGTATTAACAACTACCATCGTGGTCAGACACGATAACTAACCTTTGTTCTATGTAAGAAGATGGACAGTGAAACAATGCAGATATTCAAGGGAATATGGAACGTGTTCCAGTGCTCTTCTTCTAACCTGTAACAGAATAACATGAATAATCTTGTGTTCGACTAGAACAGGACAATTTTGAAGTCAACAAAGATCACTGAACCAAATTATATTATGTAATACTGTAACAAAATAAATTTTGTGTTAGCAATGTGTACTTAATTCTTTGACTTTTTATATGCACACATATGAACTTAATACTTTTCAAATATTTGTAGCTTGTTATTAAAAATATTTCTTTTTTTTTTTCCTTTTTTTTTGGTCTTTTTTTTGTTTTTTCTCCGGTACCAGGAATCAAACTCATGAACTTGCGCTTGCCAGGCAGGCACTGTGCCACTGAGCTAAATTCCCAGCCCCTTTTTTTTTGTCTTTTTGAGATAAGGTCTCACTATAGTTCAGGCTGGCCTTGAACTCACTTTGTAGCCCAGGCTAGTCTCAAACTCTGCAGTGATCCTCCTGCCTCAGCCTCCCAAGTGCTGGGATTACAGGCATGCACCACCATGCCCAGTTTAACAATATTTCTTAAGAACCATCAGGGCCAGGGATATAACTCAGTGGCACAGGCACCTGCCTGGCAAGTCCAAGGTCCTGAGTTTGATTCCTGATACCAAAAAAAAAAAAAAATACAAAAGAACTATCAGTTGCTATTTACAGAAAAGTTTACATCCATACTTTTTAGTGGAAACCCCAAGACCTCTGTTTATAATTTTAACCTTTTAAAAATTATTCAGTAAAATACATACTAAAGATTAGACACAAAATATATAGCCTTAAAGCTTTTTGTTTGTTTGTTTTTGTTTTTTTTCCAGTACCAGGAATTGAACTCATGACCTTGTGCTTGCCAGGCAGGCACTGTGCCGCTGAGCTAAATCCCCAGCCCAATAGCCTTATGCATTATTAAAAGAAACATTCTTCTAGAACTCTGCCAGCTACCCCATTGTACTTTTTCAGTCCTGTCAACAATTTTAAGCCCACAAAGGAACCACTACCCTGATTTCAAAAGTAGTCAGTTAACCCCATCCTGCGCTGTATTCTCCATTTCATTTTGTTTTGTTTTGTTTTTGAGAGAGTCTGGCTATGTAGTTCAGGCTGGCCTTGAACTTGCCGTGACCATCCTGCCTCAGCCTCCCAAGTGCTGGAGTTACAGGCGGGCGCCACCACATCCAGCTTTATTCTCCATTTTGGATATTGATTTTAAGCTTGCTTTTCTCAGCTGCCAATAAGTAATCACAGATTTTTATTTCACAATCTCTTCCTCCATTTGAATGGGTCATGCAATGAAGCGAAACCTATTGGACAGCAGAAGTAGCCACTAGACTGAAAAGCTGGCTGCTGAAAAATAGAAGAAAATATCCTTGAACACTCATATCTACTGTGCAGATGATGCATCCTGGCTTCTTTAGAGCAATAAGAAAGGCATCTTGGGGCTGGGGATTTAGCTCAGCAGCAAAAGCGCCTGCCTGGCAAGCGCAAGGTCGTGAGTTCAGTTCCCAGTACCGGAGAAAAACCAAAAAAAAAAAAAAAGGCATCTTTTACATCTTTTGTAAAACCTGAGAAATTAAATCTTAAGTTTAAAACTTTGAAATAAGTGTGTATTAAGTAAAGCTTGGGTAATCTACCATGATTAACTGCAGAGTATCAATTCTGAACCTTGTCTCTGAATCCCTCTTGCGATAATTTTGCCGTCTACAGGACAAATTAGGTGCTGGCCACCTGAATTATTTTGTATCTGAATTATTTTGAGTTCTAGAATGGTAAAACACAGATACTCATTGTTTTGTTTTGGTGGTCTTTTTTTTTTTTTTTTTTGCTTTGTTTTTGAGACGGGGTCTCACTTTGTAGCCCAGGCTGGCCTCAAACTTGCAGTGATCCTATCTGAGCCTCTTGAGTGCTGGGATTACAAGGTGTGTGCTATCATACCTGGTTTCAAATATTCATTGTTTCGCTGTGCCTTTAGCTTTTTATCAAAAGGCTTTAATTGCTGTTTTAAAAAATGAAAATCATTATTTGAAATACCAATAAAAAAGTTTCACTCTCTTTATAGTGCATCAGGATACAAATTTTTCAAGGTTTTTTATTTTATTTTATTTTGTCTTTTTGAGACAGGGTCTCACTAAGCAGCTCAGGGTGGCCTTGAGCTCACTTTGTAGCCCAGGCTGGTCTTGAACTTGGAGTGATCTTCCTGCCTCAGCCACCCGAGTGCTGGGATTACAGTGTGCGCCACCATGCCCTGCTTCAAGGCTTTTTAATGGGAAAACTATTTCACAATTATTTAAAGCTAAGTTCTCTGAGCTCTGCAAAAATTTATGGAGACTTTCCTTTCATATAATTTTGCACCCATGTTTCTAAAAACGTTGGTGGAAAGATTGGACTGATTGTGGGTCTAAGGTAAAGATAGACTTCCACAGCAAATCCCTGAAGGGGTCCCATCTCCATGATGTCGCTTCCTTGCTGGTCCTGAGTGCTGGTGTCTTTCATTTCGAAGTGAGCTTACTCCAGTGTTTGAATGTTTATTGTACCGTAACTTGTATCCTCAGACATTGAAGGCATTTGAAAAGTACTAAGAGACTGATTCTTTTATTAGTCAATGATGAAAAACATGTATAATCAGAATTTAAAGTGTATAATTCCTTTTCTTCTGAAAATTGTACTATTATGGAAAATAAAGAATGGCAGGACCATTGCATTCATTAAAATATCTACTGGGTCTTTTCTTAAATGTCTTGATTATTTTTTACATATCTTCTTTTTTTTTTTTTTGGCGGTGGTAGGGATGGAACCCAGGCTTGCAGGCGTGCCAAGTGCTAACTCCTTACCCCAGCCCTCTGATACGCTTTTTACATGTTGTCATTTGGTAGCGTGAATCAATAAAATGTGCTTTCTCAGCTGGAGATGCTTCTGCACTGCAGAGGATGTTGGCAGTGTCAGGAGACACACATGGTTGTCATAACTGAGGCAGATGTGTGAGTGGCCCGGGAGCTGGGTAGAAGCCAGGGATGTCACTCAGCATTCTCCAGTACACAAGATGGCTCCTTACAAAGTACCAGTAGTGCCCCCATTTACAAGCCCTGACCAAGCTGATGCTGCGTATCATGAAATTACTACTGGCTCGCCGGGCTTGGTGGCGCACCCCTGTAATCCCAGCACTTGGGAGGCTGAGGCAGGAGGATCGTTGCTTGTTCAAGACCAGCCCAGGCTACAAAGTGAGTTCCAGACCAGCCTGAACTGCACAGTAAGACCCTGTCTCAAAAAGGCCAAAAAAAAAAAAAAAAAAAAAAAAAAAAAAGAAAGAAAAAGACAAGAAGAGAAATTGTGCTCTCGCTACACAGAACCCCCAAGCTTCACCCCTTGACCAAAGGCTACTGTGGGTTCTGCCTATCCATTCTCTGGGGCAGTGCTGCTCTAGCCTCAGAATTGCAGGGAATTTTTTTTTTTTCTTTTTCTTTTTGAGACAGGGTCTCACTATGCAGTTCAGGCTGGCCTTGAGCTCACTTTGTAACCCAGGCTGGTCTCAAACTTGCAATGATCCTCCTGCCTCAGCCTCCCGAGTGCTGGGATTACAGGTGTGTACCACCATGCTCTGCTGCAGGGAACTTTTATCTCTGGGCAATTGCATATCACCATGTGCTTCCTCAGTCTCCCCACAGCATGCTGGAGAATGGGCTACACAGGTCACTGCTTGGATTTCATTCCTCAGAGAAAGTCACACAGCCATGGCAGTGGAGGGCAGTGTGGTCTGCTCAAGTACTGGGATAGGGTGGTGATGTCAGCCGTGGGGACACAAGCCAGGCGGAGTTGACAGAAAGCGGGGAGGTCTGCAGGGGGACGTACTAGAAATATGTGTAGAAATGAAAGGGTGGAAAGTCAAAATGAGACTTTTTAATACATGAAGTTAAAAAATTAATTTTAAAGTTTTGCAAGAGCTGGGCATGGTGGTGCACGCCTATAATCCCAGCACTCAGGAGGCTGAGGCAGGAGGATCGTTACAAGTTTGAGACCCGCTTGGGCTACAAAGTGAGCTCAAAGCCAGCCTGAACAGCATAGCAAGACCCTGTCTTAAAAAGACAACAAACAACCAACTTCTTAGGGCTGAGAATGCAGTTCAGTGGTACTTAGCATACACAAATCCCTACATTCTTTTTTCTTTTGTCACAAGGTCTCACTCTCACTACCGGTCTGGGGTGACCTCAGTCTTGTGATCCTCCTGCCTCAGCCCCCAAGTGCTGGGATTACAGACATGTGCCACCACACCAACGATAGATAAATTCTTATAAGGTACAAATCCCATCATGAAGGCCCTAGTCATTTAATCCTAATTACGACCCAAAAGATCAATCTCCAGTACACCAAATTGTGCATTTGGGCTTCAGCATATGAATTTCACTGATTTGTTGTTCTATTGGTGGTTTTTTTTTTTTTTTTTTTGGTTTTTTTCCAGTACTGGGAATCGAACTCACAACTTCATGCTTGCCAGGCAGGTGCTATGCCGCTGAACTAAATCCCCAGCCCCTGTTAAATCCCCAGCCCCTTCTGTTGGTTTTTGTGGTGCTGGAAATTGAACCCAGGGCCTTACACATGCTAGGCAAGCGCTCTATCGCTGAGCTACACCCAACCCCAAGGAGAGTTCTACACAACCATTAAGTGTATATAACTCCACTGAATGCGTCAGAATACTGACACTCTCCCTTGTATGCTTTTCTGCGTGGGGAACATTGAGTGGGAGACAGGGTCTGGCTGTGCAGTGCAGGCTGAAGTTCTGTGGCCCCGTCTCAGCCTCCTGAGTTACAGTTATGCACCATCGTGCCTGGCTCGCCATCCTGCCTCTTTTTCCGCAAATACTCCTAAAACTTACCACAGGAAAGTGGATTTGGGACCAGGTCTCTCGTGTCCACACAGTGAGCAACCGTGTGAATATCCTTCGTCAAACTCATCATTTCAGGAGTCAAAATGAGCTTGCAGAGTGAGCCCAGTTCAGGAACCACACCGCTGAACGCACAGAAGGTAAGTGCCGCTTCTCGCAGAGAGAGACGACGCGCCCCTGGGCTGAGTCTATCTGTCAGAACTTGTCCTAGGGGAGTATCCTAGTAACTGGGTTCACTGGGCAGGCGGTATCTGTAAAGAGAAGAGACGCATCTCACTCAAAAATATTATGCATTAAGGCCCTGACTTTAAAAAGAAAAAAAAAGAAAAAGGAACCGAGCAAGCAGTACAGCGGCAGAGTGGACTGGAAAGATGATTGTAGGTGAGGAAGGCGAAATCACTGGTGATTATGTAATCACACTCCACGGCTCCATAGATGCTCGTTTCAGAAAATGGTGGCGATGGCGTGATTTGTGGGTGGAATTTTCATTCCTCTGGTGTCAGAAGATCCTCCGTTGTGTCCTCGCACAACGCTGAAGGGTCACACAGGCCCAGCTGAAGGGTCAGTGGTTTCAACTGGTTTGAGAAAGACTGAAGCCAAAGGGCTGGGGATTTAGCTCAGTGGCACAGCGCCTACCTGGCAAGCGCAAGGTCATGAGTTCGATTCCCGGTACCAGAAAAAAAAAAAAACCACAACAAAAAAGAAAGACTGAAGCCAGCTCCAAGTTCCGGAAAGTAGCGTAGGCAGCTGTGAGCTGCGTGGTCTGTGCTGCGCAGCTCTCCTGTATCGCAAAGCTAAGGGAAGTGCAACCGAGAAAAGGGCCGGGTTCTGCTGCCCCTGGGGAGAACCGATGACCTGAGAGACAGCCATGGGAAAGAGCTTTATTCTGCAGCCAGAAATGGAGACGCACAGGGGCTCTGCCGGCAAATGGAGCTACAGACACAGGGTAGGACAGTGTGGGAGAGAGATGGGTTCATAAAACCAGGACTATTCTTCACGTCTCTTCTGGCAATCGTCAATGATCTTCCTGAAACTCTGGTACCCTTTTCTTCCCTGTTTTGCTGTTGTTGTTGTTGAGTTTTGAACCTAGAACCTTCACACTGAGCTACATCCTCAGCCTTTTTTGTTTTTTATTTTGAGACAGGGGCTTGCTAAGTTGTTCATGCTGGGATTGAATTTATGATCCTCCTGCCTCAGCCTCCCAGGGTGCTGAGATTACACACTTAGCCAAATAACACCTCTTCGGTGGCATGTTTTTGCCTACTCACAGTTTCCGTCTCTGGCAGAGCATGCTGAGGTGGTACACCAAGAGCTGCTAATACTAAAGATTGCCGGCACCAAAAGCAGCCAGCAGCTGGGTGTGGGAACACCCAAAGCACTCATGCCAAAGTAGCCAAGAGCAGAACTGGGAACACTGGAGGGAGCGCATAGCCAGAAAATGGACTGAAACAGAGGACCGACAGGAGGCACCACCGGGCGTGGTGGCACACGCCTGTAATCCCAGCACTCAGGAGGCTGAGGCAGGAGGATCGTTGCGAGTTAGAGACCAGCCTGGGCTATAAAGTAAGCTCACGGCCGGCCTGAACTGCACAGCGAGACCCTGTCTCAAAAAGACAAAACAAAACAGACAGGAGGTGCCATCGGTGGTGGGCATAGGACATCTTAAAACGAGCTGGTAGCTGCTAGCTGTGAGCATGAAGAAATACAAAGAGCTGCAGGCAGCAAAGCTCAGGGCTGTTCACAGGAAAAGAGCCACCCTGTGCCAGTTTGCGATTTCCGTGTGAGTTGAGCAAGGACCTTCAGGTGACTGGTGACATCTGGAAGTGCCTCAGGGTCCTCCCCTCTAGAGGCCCCTGAGAAGAATGTGGGCCAGGGTGCTGGTCATCAGCAACGGAGCAGCAGCCCCAGAACCAGCCCAGGTCGGGTTTCCGGGTCGGAACATTGCCAAGAATCCACACCAGCCAGGGACGAATATAGATAGTACTGCGCACAGACCATACACTTCAACAGAGTCAGGATGGTGCATTTTATTTTATTCTCTTTATTTTAAGACAGTAAATTTTATGTTATGAGCTTTTAAGCAAACAAATGAAAAAAATCTTAAGCCAAATACCATGGTGTATATATAGTTCTGTGACACCCAGCTGGGGAAATTATAATGGTCAGTGAAACTTAGGAAGGAAGAAATGTCTCATGGACAAAGCTCTTAAAGTTTCAAAAATAAAGCATTTAAATATAGAGACTGCGCAATGCTATCCTCTGTTGCTGTTTTCCCCCCGCTGGTCTGTCTTCAGATAAAATCTAAAACACATAAGCGTGTTTGCCTTTTCTTCCCTTTCATTTGCAGTGGTCACACCCTTTTTAGATATTTATTGGCCAGGGCTATAGCTCAGTGGCATAAGCACCTGCCTGACAAGTGCAAGGTCCTGAGTTCAATTCCCAGGATCAAAAAAAAAAAAAAAAAAAAAAAGATATTTATTGGTCTGAGTGTCCTGTCACCCTTACTCTAACTTAATTACCTTTTTCGGACCTTTTCCCCAAATAGTCACTTTCTTACTTCCTAGGGGTTAGGGCTTCCACATATGAATGGGGGCGTGGGAGAACTAGTCAGCCTACCACATCTACTATTTAAGATTTTATTTATTTATTTATTGGTTCTGGGGGTTGAACCTAGGCCCTCATACATGCTAGGCAAAACTCTACCACTGAACTACATAGGGTCTTGCTGTGTAGCTCAAGGCTGACCCTGATCACCTGGGCTCAAGAGATTCTCCTGATGCAAACTACCAAGTAGCTAGGTCTACAAATGTGTGGCACTATAGCCAGCTAAAATTCTTTATATTAAACTTTCTCTGTTCAAATATCTATACAGCCAGGTGTGGTGGCGCACGCCTGTAATCCCAGCACTTGGGAGGCTGAGGTAGGAGGATCATTGCAAGTTTGAGACCTGCCTGGGCTACAAAGTGAGCTCAAGTCCAGCCTGAACTGCATAGCAAGACCCTGCTTCAAAAAGATAAAAACAAAAAAACAAACAAACAAACAAAAAAACCCCATATATAGTTTCTCTCCCCTGAATAGATTTGGAAGGATAAATCTAAATCCACTTGTGCTGATTTTTCATGAGTATCTTCAATAAAATGCAATAAGAACTTGGGAGTGGTTGTGCATACCTATAGTCTCAGCACTCTGGGAGGCTGAGGCAGGAGGATCATAAGTTTGAACCCAGCCTGGGCAACTCAGTGAGACCCTTTCTCCAGTGAAAAAAATAGAAAGGGGTGGAGATAGCTCAGTGCAAAGGACCTGGGTGCAGTCTATAGTACTAGAGAAACAAACAAAAACACAATTTAGTAGAACTCCTCTTGCTATAGGAGGCCAGGACAACATCCCCCAGAAGGTGTCAATAAATGTGCCAAGGGAAGACAAAAAGAATGAGGGGAGGAGAGAGGAGAGGGAAGAGAGAGATCTTCTAGCTTGAACTTTACATCTTTCAAAGATTTAAAAGAAAACCACATCAGAGCTGGGTGTGGTGGCGCATGCCTGTAATCCCAGCACTCGTGAGGCTGAGGCAAGAGGATCACTGCAAGTTCGAGACCAGCCTGGGCTACAAAGTGAGCTCAAGGCCAGCCTGAACTGCATAGTGAGACCCTGTCT